TATAGTGTGGTTACTGATGAAATTGCGTGGTTTGAGGTTTGGTAAAGCTAGGTCACTTTGATATAAGTGTCCGTCGTCCAGTTTGGATAGTGGTAGTACAAGTGAGGAAGTAAGGTTGTGTAGAGTGAGTGAGGCACTCTGTTAGAGTCGTTTTGACTCGTTCGGTCCTTGTTTCTGTGTTGTAAGGCACGGGGTTGTGCAAAGTTATCCTTTATGTAGTTGTGTTGTTGGGAGTTTCAAACGTTTAGGAGTCCCTATCGTGAAAGTACTATTTTTGGGGATTGCGTCATCACTGTGAGTATGACGGGTTTTGTGGGTTGGTTACGTTGTGATTCGCTTTAGGGACATTGAGCACTCTTCGTAAACTAAAATGATTTTGAATCGAAACGTGAATTTGCAATCCTTGTTTTCGAAAAATAATTTGAGGAGAATTTCTGAGTTCGGCTATGGCCAGTTGTAAGTGGCATGCTTACGTAGTGACAGTATAAGTCTGTATACCTTTGGGAAAAATCGAGTGCTTTGAAACAAACGGAGAAGATAAAATAGATTCTTTAACCTGAATAGAATATTTTGTGGGAAGATAGGTGTGACCTAGTATGAGTTGCTGGTTACATGTTATGTGCCTTTGGTAAGACCTTGAAATTTTAGGGTGTAAATGGGCCGTAATGTTATTCCCTACCCTTGCTTCGTCTTGCATTCTTGTTTTGTGAAAGTTGACTGGAAGCCCTTTGTACAAATGATTTCATATTTCATATGTTGGGGTAGTAAGTACTAAATACTGGTTTGAGTATTGTCGGTAGTCGAGACGTAGTGGATGTCTCAGAACACTGTAGTGGTTGCGTGTGACTTACTATTATCATTGTTATCGGGTCTTGGAGGACGGGACCCTTCCAATAAATGAGGTGTTGTGGAAACGTAACGAGGTTGAGGAAAACCACTTGGGTAAGTGAATTTTAGGTCCGAGAGAAATATCCGAATCTATTTGTGGATGTTTGAGCGTGTGTTGTATTCGTGTTGTTTTGTTAAAACTTTAGAAAGCATTGAATATGTCTTAAGTTGAAAGACATTGCATATGTTGAATGTATTGTAGAACTAGAAATATATCATGAACATTGACTATGATATGAAATTGTGAATCATGTATATTGGAAATTGTTGGATTTGGAAGAAATGTATGATGGTAATACATATTGTAATGTATACTGTAGGCTGTCTCTTGAATAGAGATGAAGTGACCGGTAATGGGTCAGGTTGTTGAATATTGAATGGTAATATTGTTGAGGAATTTCAATGTGAAGTCTTTGCCAAACAAATTGTGGATGGTTATGTGTTATGAGCAACATCATGTTTATGAAAAATGTTTGCAAAATTTTTAACTTTCGCATGGGAATTGCAAATTTATTTTATTTTATTTTATTTTTTTACTTCAGAATGCCAACGTTGAAAATTTGATATTCTTTGAGAAATGCCTCATGAGCAAGAGAATGATTTCCCTTATATTTATACAAAAGATTTGCGTTGGTTGTTTTATTTGGAATTATCATTGTTGACAAGTGACTTAGCTGGGAGCGCTAGTCGGGTATTTTGGTGTTTTATCTCGGGGAGAGTTTGGTTTTGTTGAGGTCTTTTGTGCCTGGGTGTTGTCTGTGGAACGCATTTCCTTAGTTAGTCATTTCTGTTGTGAGAGTTAACTACAAATTTGTTGAGAGAATAGTTTCTTCCCTAAGTGCTCGGGGGTTGAGTGCTTTGTGGTCGGTCGACCTTGTAATTGTGTTGTTTTCTTAATTTCGAGGACGAAATTCTTTAAAGGGGAGAGGTTATAGCGATCCCAGGTTTGTCCCCTTTATGTACAGTGTTCCGAACTTAGGTTCCGTGGAGTCGGTGGTTGTATTTCCTGTTGTCATCCTTTAAATCCCTTATGTTTGAGTTTTAGGATGTGTTGGGCGTGTTTCGAACAGGTTGGTTGAGCCTTAGTCCCTTTCCTTGTTGTCCAGAGTTTTGGTGGTACGCTCGAGCGGGTACCTTTGCGCTCGAGCGGAATTGGATTTTTGGTTGTACGCTCGAGCGGACCATTTCACGCTCGAGCAGAGTTTTCACACTTCTAGTATCTGTGCCTCTGCAAAACTTCTGCAGATGCGTTTTTCACGCTCGAGCGAGTTTCCTTACGCTCAAGCGGGTCGCGCTCGAGCGGGTCTGTTGGAGCTCGAGCGGGGTGTTCATTGTCTATGAAAATACTGAGAGAAGAGAATCTATGCTCCAGCGAACTGGTTTTCACGCTCGAGCAGATATATTTTATTCTTGTGTCTTGGTGCTCGAGCGGGCCTTCTTGCGCTCGAGCGGGTCCAGTTTTTTGTGTTTGACGCTCGAGCGTCCTGTTATCCGCTCGAGCGGGAGAGCCGTATATCAATTGACAGCTGTGATATTTTGAATCACTTTTTGCATTCACTCTCTGTCTCTTACTTTCTAAAAAGATATTTTGAGAGCCTCTCTCTCTAGAAACTCCCTTCTCTCTAGGGTTTGATCTAGTTAGAGTGCTTCCCTTTCCTTCGGCCTTTGTAAAAGTTGTGTTGATCGTCGAGGGCTTCGTTGTGATCCGAAAAGTTTGGAGTTTGGAGCACTTTGGTTTTGGTCTCTTCTCCGTTTGAGCTCTAACTTCGAGGTAGGGATATCCTACTCCATCTTATGAGATTTGTCTTTGAATTTTGGCATTTTGATATGTTGGGGGTCGTTGGGAAAATTTGTGAAAGTTTGGGTTCATAGTGTAATTTTTCAAAAGATGGGGTTTCAAACATATAAACCTTTATGTATGTAATACATTGGAAAATGGACTCGGTGTTGGACTATTGATGAAAATGGAACCTTAGGGTTGGTGTTGTAATTATGGGAAAAAGCCCTAATTGTTGATAAATTCATTTGTATAATTAATTTTGGGAAATGAGAAATTGAATAGGAAATATTCAAGTCGGAAAGGTATGAGATTAAAGAGTAGAGTTGGATTAATTTATCGCTCACCCAGACAAATGTTGATATGTTGTCCATTTGATGCATTTATTTACTGTTTAGAGATAACTGCTTTGGGCTATCGGTGGAGGATAGTCTTGATTGTTGTAGACAATGTATGATGATTAGGCAAACTAAAATTAATCAATGGAATGTGTCATCGAATATGACGGTTGGAATAATACCTTAACCTTATGTATTGATTGATTGTGTGTATGATAATTGTTTATATGCACTATGTTGTGTGGGAGGAGATGGGGGATGTACTCCACGGTTTATTGGAATATGGGGGATGGACTTCTAAACCGGATATTGGTTGACATTGATACAGCACTACCATGTGTATCATTTGTGAATCATAGAAGTGTTTTGTTTGACATTGATATAGCACTACCATGTGTATCATTTGTCTTGATTGATTAAATTTGTATATGATAATTGCTTATATACATTGTATTGTGTGGGAGGAGATGGGGGATGTACTCCACGGTTTATTGGAAGATGGGGGATGGACCTCTAAACCGGATTTTGTTTGAGATTGATACAACACTAAAATGTGTATCATTTGTGAAGTATGGAACTGTTTGTTTGATTTGATATAGCACTAAAATGTATATCATTATTATTTGTGAAGCAAGGAAGTGTTGTTTGATTTGATATAGTACTAAAATGTATATCTGTATCATTCGTGAGGTATGGAAATCTTTTGTTGACTTTGATACAGCACCAAAAATTGTATCCATTAAGAATTTCGAAAGTATTTTAGTGATGAGTTATCATCTCATTAAATTATGTGGCCAGATGTAGACACCCCATTTTTGACCGTCCTCAAGACTTGGACATCACCATTGGAACACTTGGTGATTACCCTTGTTTGTGTTCGTTTGGAGTTCTCGGAGGTCTCGGCTACGCGCCCTGCCTCGGGATCTCCGAACTTGACCGTTTTGTGTCTGGTCTTGCACCAAACACTTGTGTTTTGCCTTGGAGGGGCAAGGAATGCCTTGTGAGGCATCCCCACACACCACCGGCAGTGGCTAGAGGTCACCGGCTGGTTTTTGCTGCCATCGGCACTTTCTGTTGCCGGTCGGCACTATTTGTTGCTGGTCGACACTCACTTTTGCCAAAATGGCATCTTTGGCCGGCCGACTACTGTGCATCTGCTTTTGCAGATATTTTATCACAGCTATCTTGCTTTTGGCTCCCCTCCATACATGTGTATGGAGGGATCTCTCTCTTTAGAAGCTTGTCTTGTAAGATTTACAAGACAAAAGGCTCTATAAGAGAGAGTCTTCTCTCTTGGCCTTGAGGCACTACTACAAATATAGATAAAGATCACACTTTTTTGGTGTGATGTATGTTTTTTAATCACACCTTTTAAGTTTTATTAAAGTGTGGTCTTTAGGAGTGTGATTAAAAATGGTCATTTTCAATCACACTTTTTAAGTGTCATTAAAAAATGCTTTCATCACATCTTTTAAGTGTGATTAAAAACATTTAGATCACACCTTTTAAGTGTGATTAAAAACATTTAAATCACACCTTTTAAGTGTGGTTAAAAACATTTAGATCACACCTTTTAAGTGTGATTAAAAACTTTAATTCACACTTTTTAAGTGTGATTAAAGACTTTAGATCACACCTTTTAAGTGTGATTAAAAACATTTAGATCACACCTTTTAAGTGTGATTAATAACTAATAAAACCTGTGATAAAAAAAAAATTTGACATATTTAAAGAATAATCAATATTATTTTTGCACGCGCATTTGAATAATGTAATACACACTATATACTATATTCTGAATCACAACCATATATTGAATGAAATAATATCATATATTTCATAAATGAAAGTTAAATGTTTAAAAGTATATACAAAGAAATTAATAAAAAAAAAATTAACTGTGATTACATACGTTAAAAAATAAAAAATAAAAAACTTGAAAAAAGTAAGTTCTTGAATTCTTTGACTATATTTTGCATCTCTCCAAGAAATTTGACCTGAAAAATAAAAAAACAAATTAATTTAAAAACCGCCAGAAGCATATGAATAAACTTACTAATTAATTTATAAACTTACATTTAGATCACACCAAAAATAATGTAATTTATCCAGTTGTTAAACTACCCCCAATCCTTTCCCCACAGCCACCAAAAATGACATAATTATTTTGATTCTCCACACAAATATCAGTAAAACAACACCACAAAAGAAGACAATATGCAACAATGCAGCAAGGATCACATAAATGATAAAATAGAGTATTATATGGACAATCAAAATCATATGATATCAACATATAACTCACTAACAACTATAAAACAAATAAGGATCAATAAAGCTTATTGGTCTTAAAAGCAGAAACCACATAGCCTGAATAATTACAAATTGGTACACCCATCGATGGAAACATCACCGTGAAAGGTTTTCCTCAAGACCAATAGTACACCCATCAAATTTCCAAATATAATTGCATGCTTAAAAAATAATTCTATGTAGACAAGATATTTTAACAGAACTGGTAAAAATGCATACTTCTCTGTTAGTACCAAACTACATATTCATATGGGTTCAACTCTGACACAAACTGAGATGCACATGAGATCCAGAACCAATATCATCTAATGCATACCTGGGGCAAACAAAAAAATGGAGATAACAGTTAAGAGACATAGCTTGAAGAAGAAAATTCTGCAGGTGAGGAAATGAGTGAAGTTTAACCAATATCAGATCCTTGTCAAGGATCTTCACCTCTCTCCCAAGATGCTCTAGCCAACATAGAACAGGGAACATATATGGTCTGGTTCCCTTAACAAACCTGAGTTAGATTAAAATTCAAATCAAACAGATCGAGAAATACCTATAATTAAAATTCACATCAAAAGTCAATTAAAATTCACATCAAACAGATCGAGAAATACCTATAATTAAAATTCACATCAAAAGGATGAAGTAAACAAAAGTCAAACAGAATCAGTTAAATTAATTTTATTAATTCAACATTAAAACTAATTTTTGACTACAATCTGTATTAAAAACTCAATACTACTTGAAGGATAGAGAAATACCTTGATAGAGAGTGAATTAACCAATCGATGTCTTCAAAGTAGCAGAAATCTGCAAAAAAATGAGGAAGAAGATGAAGAATCAACCTATAGACACTGCAAGAAAAATAGGAATTAGTGGCGTTTTAAAAAAGTCGGCACAGACTCAAAAAATGTCGCTAAAATTTATTGTGGCGTTTTTACCATTCGTCGAGGATATGGCCGTCGCCATAACTTCGTGATGTTTTGATAAACACCGCTAATTACTTTTATCGACGTTTACGCCAACGCCGCTAATAACTTTCACCGACATTTTTCAGTAAACGCTGTTACATTCTTATGCAGCAATCTCTGCAAATACTTGAATTTTCACTGACGTATACAGAAAATGTCACTATATATAATTTTTCAAATTTGTTTCTCCTGATATCATTAGTCTCTTTTGAAAACTATATCGAGACTAAAAAAAATCAAAAAACAAAAAAACAAATTTGAGTTACACATCTTAAAAATATTAAAATAAAAAAAATAAAAACTTGGAACATTGATGTAAAATGAATATTGGGATGGCCTTGGGAAAAGACATCAAGCCACCATTTCTTCAGTTGTAGAGTAACAGTCCTTTTGTGTTGACATATGTGAAAATGAAGTCCTCCCTAGTAGAGCTTCTTTCATTGGTCCCTACATGTGTCAGATGTGGAAATAAAATCCTTCCTAGTAGAGCTTCTCTCATTTGTCTCCACAAAGAACATAACTTTCCTGTCAAAATTGAAGGTGGAAAGATAAAATTACATTTTTTTATTATAAAAAGTACCATATTTTTTGTTATAAAATTCTCCAGAAGTCATGTGCATGAAATTAGAAATTAGGTTACTATAACTTTCTGATCATTTATTATGGTCCAAAAGTCCCAAATATTAACAATAGGGTGGAGGAAGCACCAAATCTTCTAGCTGATTTATCAAAAAAAAATAAATCTTCTAGTTGATATCCTCTACAACAATAATTGAGACCACCAATTTTGGGAACCCTCACAACCCCCAAAGTGATCTCAACCATACATGGTGTAAGTCTCACACATACATGAGTGGGCTCTACACATATATGAATGGTTGAGATCACTTTGAGAGTTGTGGGGGTCCCCAAAATTGGGGATTCCAAGCATTTTTCTATCCTCTATCATGTTGTGCTACATTCCTTTACTATTTATATAAAATATCTTCTCATCTAGAAGAACTTGCCTTCTTATTTCCAGATAATTTGCACAGGCTACTACAGTTGGTCATAACGCAACGCTCCTAGAATAGCTATCAATTGCTTATTCAAATTTCGATTTAAAGTACTCATTACCCTGTAAATTAATAAGAATCCATATCAGTATCAATTTTATATATTTCTACAATAGCATCAGAAATCATAAATAATAAATAAATGAACTCTAGTAGAACAAATCATACCAACTCCTCTGATGCAGCATCAGGAGAGCTCTCTTCTGTCATGAAACCATTTGATAAATTCCTGATTGAATCATAATTTCACAAGTGAACCTCCACTTGTAAATGTGTTCTTTGGTCACAAATAAGTTGACTCACATTGTTCACATAACATTTGTGTGTCAGAAGCTTTAGGAAAATAAACCGTATCAATTTACAAAAACAAAAAAACCTGAAAAAAAAAGTGAAACATGTTGCCAAGATAAGATCCATAAGCACATAGTACATTATTAGAGAAACAATCAACATTAACAATCTCAAATGCAACATTTAAATTGATCCTTAATAAATTATTAGGTACCAACAGTAGCACCATGAATATATTATTTATTGTAATACAACAATGCATATTTGGAAATTCTAAAGATTAAGGGCAGCAACTTGAAATCATCAAAATATGAAATAGAGTAGATAATCTTCAATTCATACCTGGATCAAGAGGTGATAATCTTCTTTGAAATAGCATAGCATATCCTCAGGAGATAAACTTCTTAGCTGCTACCAAGAGAGGGGTTATGACAAATTGTTAGCGAGTATTCCTCCATATAAAATCTTGAAACACTATGCTTTCTATCAAAAATTAAAGCTATACCCACAAAACATGAGTACATTATTTTGTATGCTCTACTCTAGTTCCAGGAAAAAGGATATAAAAGATACAAAGAACCAAGAAAGAAAATGTCATAGTGCATGACACTTTAAACCTCCTATCTACAAACAAATTTGTGATGAAGTACCATCAAAATTAGAAGTATAGAATAGCTAAAATTCAGTGAGGTGAGGTTAGCACAAACTGTGAATTTTAATTAATATGAAGTACAAAATTTGAAAACATCTTCAAACAGGGGATGGTTACAAAAATTAAGAAACATATTTAACACAAGACAATAGTCATGGGCTGGACAAACTATCCAGTGTTGTATTACCCCTAACAACATCAAAGGACAAAACAATATTGGAAGTCATAATGAAAAAAGCAAGATAAAATATCGTAACTAAAACATTGTCAACGGAGATTGAATCATTGTACTTCAAACAGAGTTGAAAGTGAGATCTGTACAATACAAACAGAGAACAAACTCACCAGCCATGAGAAGAACAAGTCCTAGTTTCTGTTAGGTTTGAAAAAAGTAATTTATGTATATATATACCTACAACATGTAGTTGTGACTATTTTAAACCCAGTCAAATACAAAACAGAAACACAGATTCAATCCAATGTCAATCTCTTAACAAGAAGACAATCTTTTCTCAAGAAATATACTTAGTATTTTAGAGGTGCAGAAATTGCAATCAATATTAACAACAAAAATTCAAATGTTTATTACACATGAAACAAATGGAAGATAAATATCATTAAAAGAACCCAATAAAAAGTTTAGTCATTTGAACCCTCTAAAAGGAACCAAATATTCATATTTGTGATACACAAATAAAAGGAACGCAAAATGTCTTACCATAGAAAAAAGTTGCCAAGGACATCCTTTAAGGTGCATATAAAAACCATTGGGCCATAAAGGTTCATCCATGTTAGGAGAGATAAGAGAAATGGGGGTACCTCCAATGTGATCAATAAGAGAAACAGGGATACCTCTAACGTTCATCCAAGATCTAGGCATTGCAATAACCAAATTACAATTGTGTGGTATTAGTGAATCCTCACAAACAAATCAAAATCCATAGAAGCATCACCTTTCATGTACATATAAAAAATCTCCAACCAAGATTATAATGAAGTTTTTATACATATTATAATGAAAGCAAAAGATATATCTGCGTTGTATATTGCATTGAAATAATAAAGAATAGAGAAGAGAATGAATCAGAGAGACTAGAAATCATCCTGCACATTCAATGGTTTCCACACAATGAATAATGAAACAACTTGGAACTGCAACCCAAATAAGTACCTCATTACTAAAACCAGTTAAAGTACCACATCGATCTGCAAAAGAAGAAAAAAAAATAAACAGTTTACACTAATCAATATCCAAGAAGAAAAAAGAAAACCAGAGTGAGAAAAATAATAGCATAAATAAATGAATAAATAAATAGTAGAAGAAGAAGAATAAGAAGAGAAAGTGTTACTTGAGCGGATTGGACTCTTTTTGGAAGAACAGATCAGGTCTGGAGGGACCAATCTCATTGCAAATAAATAAATAAATCTGGAAAGTCCCTGCTACAATAACAAATCACAAAAATATTGAGAAGCAATAATTCTAGCTAGAAAAACTATCAGAAAAATTTGGTTGATTATATCAAATCAATTATGCAAACTACGAGAGAGAGAGAGAGAGACACCTCTCATTCTCGAACCATCGGAACACAGGTTTCGAGATCAAACCTGTTAGTTCTAAGAGGCCTCTTCTTCTTGAACCATGAGAACATCGAGATCGATTCGACACAAATAGAGCACGAAATACAAGTTTAGAGATCAGATCCCTGTATTTCTAAGAGAAATTAGTGAAAACCCTAACAAGCTTTGAGTTCTCGAGATCAGGTTTCTAATCAGACAAACCCCAAGCAAGAACAAGAAATTGATACATACAGATTTTAATAGATTAGTTGACAAAAATCGATCAAGAAACACGACAAAGGGAGATCGAAACAAACACAATTTAATAGTTACGGTGAAGTGTAGAAATTGAACCAATAGTTTCGGAAAAGTTGGACTGATCTATAACTCCTCGCTTTCAAAGGTCAGATCAGAGATATATATATATATATATATAAAACAAAAAAAATCAACGATCGGGAGAGAGAGAGAGACAGAGATTGAGAGAGAGAGTTTACCTGTGAGTAGATCGGCTGTGCGATGATGATCGGTGCGATGAGATGAACAACGAGAGAGTGAGAGGGTGATCGGTGCAGAAACGAGAGAGTAAGAGAGACAGTGATGTTGAGATTAGGGATTTTGGTTTTGCGCCCGGGGGGTGGGGGGGATGGCCAAAAAAAAAGCGGGAATGAAAAAAAAAAAGAGAGGGAGACGGGGGGGGATGAAAAAAAATTAAAATCTTTTTTTTTTGGGGATCACAAATAAAATTTAAACAATAAAATAATACCGTTTAACTCTTTCTTTTTTTTTTGTGACGCGGGTTGCTGTCGTTAAAAAAATTTATTTTTTGTTAAAATAATTTTTTTTTGTAGTTAATGAAAAAAATTTCATTTTTTTTTAGTTATTAAGATTGAAAATTTATTTGTTTCATTTTTATTTTAATTAAAAAAAATATTATTATTATTTTTTATTTGGTAGAAGTAGGGGTAATATTTTAATGAAAAATATTTTTCACTAAAATAAAAGTTTATTTCCTGTGATCAATGAAAATCATATTATATTTTTTTGTTAGTAAAAATCATGAACTATTTTTTTGTGGTAGAGGAAAGGGAGCGACATTAGTGGTGGAGGTGGTGGATAAGAGATGATGGATACGCAGTGATAGATGGTGATGGCAAAAATATTAAGTGGTGGAGTTGTGAGAGTAGGTGTAGTAGATGAGTGGCAGGAGGTGAAGGAGAGGTATGGTATAGTGTATGCAGTAGTGTAGTAGTGGTAGTGGAGTGGTGGCGATGGCTAGTAGTAATGGAATCGTAGCAAGGTGAAGTGGCGACAGTGGAAGTAGTGGTGGTGGTGAATGACGTTTGCAGTAGTGGTGAAGGTGGTAGAGGAGATGGATGTGGAGAGACAGATGAGTGAGAGACGGATAGAAGAGAATTAGAGACGAGAGAATAGAGCGAGAATGGAAAACAAAAACAGCAGGAATAAGAATATTTATTTTGTCAGAAATGAAATATTTAAATAACAAATAATTGTCGTTTAACTTTTTTTTTTTTTTTTTTTTTTTTTGGCGCGGGAGTGCCCGTCGTTAAAAAAAAATATTTTTTGTTAAAATATATATTTTTTTTGTAAATTAATGATTTATTTTATTTTTTTTATTTTTATTTTTGTAGAGGATAGAGAGTGGCAGTAGTGGTGAAGGTTGGTGGATAAGCAGATGATGGTGGTGGCGGTGGTGGTGGTGGTGGCGAAAGAGATGAGTGGTGAAGTTGTGGTAGTGGTAGAGTAGATGAAGTGGCACGGGTGAATGAGAGGTAATGGTAGTAATAGTGGCAGTAGTGGTAGTGGTGGCAATGGAAGTAGCAATGATAGTGGTAGAGGGGAAGTGGCGACAATGGTAGTAATGGTGGTAGTGGAATGGCGTTTGTAGTAGTGGTGAAGGTGGTAAAGGAGACAGGTGGTGAGAGAGAGAAAAATGAGTGAGAGACAAATAGAGGAGAGAAAGAGAGAGAGAGAGAGTGATGAGCGAGAAAGAGACAAAGTGGTCGCTAAAAGTGCATTTTCTTGTAGTGGATAGATAAATCGAGAGAGAGCTCAATAAATAGAGAAGACAGAAGGGAGAGAGTGAGCAACGCGAACATAGTGGGAGAGAAAGAGAGAGAGAAAGAGAAGAGAGAGGGGGACAAAAAGATAGAGAGTGAGAGACAGAAAAAAGATAGAGAGAGAAGAGAGATGAACGAGAGAAAGAGAGAGAGAGAGAGATAGAGAGAAGAGAGATGAACGAGAGAGAGAGAGAAGAGAGATGAGCGAGAGAGACAGAGAAAGATGAGAGAGATAGAGAGAAGAGAGATGAGCGAAAGAGATAGAGAGAGAAAAGAGATGAGAGAAGAGATAGATGAGTGAGAGACACACAGAGAGAGAGAGAGAGATAGACAGAAAGAAAAGAGTGATGAGTGAGAGAGAGAATGAGAAGAGAGAGAGGAAGATGAAAAAATGGGTGAAAAGATATAGACAAAGAGAGAGGGAGAGAAAAAAGAGCGAAAAGAGATAAACGAGAGAGAGACAGAGAGAGATGAGCGAGAGAGATAAAGAGAAGAGAGATAGAGAAGAGAGACAGAGAGAGGTGAAAGAGATAGACAGAGAAAGAGAGAGACAGACAGACAGACAGACAGGCAGAGAAGAGTGATGAGTGAGAGAGAGAGAAAGAGAGACAGAGACAGAGAGATAAAAAGATGAAAAAATGGGTGAAAAAGTTCCGTGTCTAAAGCCTCATTTTCTAGTAGTGAGTCATCTCTATCATTCATGGGTAGAATAGAGGCGCAGATTTGGGAATTGTATATTTTATATAAAAATCAAATTGAAATATTTTATACAATCACACCTATTTAGAGAGTGTGATTAAAAAGTAGTAGTGTATATATAATCACACTTTAATTAGAAGGTGATTAAAAAATATATAAATAATCACACTTTAATTAGGATGTGTGGTTAAAAAAATATCTATATAATCACACCTATTTAAAAAGTGTGATTAAAAAGTAGTAGTATATATATAATCACACTATAATTAGAAGGTGTGATTAAAAAATATATAAATAATCACACTTTAATTAGGATGTGTGGTTAAAAAATATCTATATAATCACACCTATTTAAAAAGTGTGATTAAAAAGTAGTAGTGTATATATAATCACACTTTAATTAGAAGGTGTGATTAAAAAATATATAAACAATCACACTTTAATTAGAATGTGTGATTAAAAAATACATAAATAATCACACTTTAATTAGAAGGTGTGATTAAAAAATATATAAACAATCACACTTTAATTAGAATGTGTGATTAAAAAATACATAAATAATCACACTTTAATTAGAAGGTGTGATTAAAAAATATATAAACAATCACACTTTAATTAGAATGTGTGATTAAAAAATATATATATAATCACACTTAATTGAAAAGTGACATAAAAAATAAATATTATCACACTCAATCAAATTAAGTGTGATTAAAATATCAATCTAATTTTTTTTATATTAGTCATATAGAATAAATCTTGTAATGAAATTGTTAGTGACTTGCCAAATGCACCAACATAGAAATTGTTAGTCATCCATCCAACCTCATAATAATGGAATGAATAAAAATAAAGCAAAGCCTCCCATTATGTCTGCCAGTATCTGAAACAGTGATTAGATATGCTTTTGTTGTCTCATTAAACAGCAATTAAGAGAAATAGTAACATGGCCTATATCAAGCATGACTACATATGAAAAAATAGTAAATCAAGGCAAGTGAGCTCAACTAACACCTTGCTATGGGAACATGATGGGTATATAGCAGCAAGGGTGAAACCTCCAACAAACAAATACATTGTGTGTGTGTGTGCGCGCACGCGCGTATGTATGAGTGTTTTGTCTTACTATTGCACACAAACACATAGTGTTTCATCTTCACTTAGCTACTGAGGTTCTAAGAGGTTGGTTTTGGTGTTTTGGAGCTGTTTTCAACCTAAAAGGAGTTGTTGGAGCATCATTGTTGAAGGGGTCTTCAAGGGTAAGAAACTAGCCCCTTTATTCCCCATTTTTGCATTATATTTTTACCTGTCTTAAAATCATTTTTGAGCTTAGTGTATATTACAAAAAAGTTCTGTTTTTAGGCCCTCTAAATTGTTTGTTTAGAGTGTTTTGTGGTTTGGAGGTGTTTGACCCCTCTTAGGCCTTTGAAAGGCCACATTTTGTGCTATTTTGTGCAAGTTTCGAGACTTTGCTGTTTGGGGCTTTTCACCACTGAAATCTTGAGGGATTTCAGTGGCGGAGATGGTGCCTTGAAGTCTCCAAAAGGGGAGGGCCACCCCCTCTCCTTGTTGTGTGTTGGTTTTGGTACACCATGCATGCTTAGCATACCTACCATGTAATGCCATGTTATTGCCTTAATATGCCTTAGGTTGTTAGCCTTTGTTCTAGCATGTTTTAGGCTTAGCCTTGTGAAGGTTTTGTGCTCATTTTGCCATGTTTAAGGTCTGTCCTAGGTTGTTTGGGTCGGATTTGGCATGCTTAGTATAGCTCCTTTGCATTCCGGCTTGTTGGCCTTAAGTGTATGAATGTATAGCATGACATTCTTGCATTGATTTAGTGGTTTGGAACTATCCACCATATCATTTCAGTCCCCTTTGCATGCCTATATGTTTGCCTTGGATGTCTCCTTAATGCTTTAAAAGCTTGTGTAGCATATTCCATGTTTTGGCCATTGTACATGCCTTTGAATTTGAGCCACCTAGATACCATCTAGGGGGTCCCCTTTGCATGGTCTAGGTCTGCCTTGAACCTATTTTAAGTCCTCTTAGCCTTGTGAGGCTTGGTTGACTTGATCATGGTTCAAGTCCCTTTGACTTGCTTCAAGTACTTGGGCCATTTGTTGCATGTTTAGCTTGACTTGTTACATGGTTTGGCACCATGTTTTAACATGATTTTCAATGCTTACCTTGCATGCCATATGTCCATGATTACCTTCTTTCAAATGTGCTTGAGAGTTGTCCCATTTGTGCCTAAGTGTTGGCTCCCTTAACATGTGCATGTTTGCATGTCATTTAGCCCTCATTTTATAGCACTTTGGCCACTGTTTTAGGCCTATTTAGAGTTCCCTAAATCATGTATAAGTCCACCTTTTCATAAGTTTGCATGGCCTCATGTTTGCTTGTATGCTT